ACTGATGGAGTCACGCACACGACGTCCACTGAATTCCAAAGGCACTTCTTCCCTGCCCAACTCTCTTCATACATACTAATGGTTGCCCAGACAAGCAAACCACACAAAAATTATTTCTGCTCCAGACATGAACACTCTATATACGTTTGAAATGGGAAAATCATTATTCAGAGGGAAGAGGTCTTTCCTAACGGAGGAAAGAATTATTTCCCTCTTCTTCCTCCCAGACTTAACTTTCATTTTAAATAGTGACTTTTGCAGTTGTACCCTTATTTTGGTCAAGGCTATTAGATATATACAGTGAATACTGAGAAACAGGGTAGCATATATACAACGTAATTCGTTTTTTAATGAAATGAGTTTTTATGAAGTTTATAGTTTAATATATCCAGTTATTAAAATAGAATAATGAAGTTAAATTTACACCTCAAAGCCAAAATTATCCAAGTATTAATTCAGTTAAATTACTTATTGCTAAGTATTCGTTGTGCAGTAAATTGTTTATGGACATGCCTACAAATTATTATGCTCATCAGCTACTGGCACATCTTATACCATTCTCAGTATAGGCTGAGCTTTATTACTTCAGTAAATTAAATACTTCATGTTTTCAAAAAATATCATGTAGGTCCCAGTTTATCTAGGACAAGTTACCTTGTATAGTGGATACTCTCCACCAATGGAGGATCTATGGGGCAAATCAACCAACCAATTCAACAATGAAGATACTCACTGGCCAACAAAATTACAGAACTTCCCATCAAAAACATTTCTAAAACTATCAATTTTTGGATTATCTTTGTTCTGTCTCCAAAGCTGAGAAGATTTCCTCTACCTAATCATCAACTTAGCTACAGGACAATACAGCAAAATTTCAAAGATGCTGGATTAAAAAGGAGGAGCAGTAATTGGGCTGTCAAGGAACTGCCCCCAAGGGAAACGTTGACAAAGACAAAATCACAGTCTGTTGTGCTCTGCTTCACAACAGACTAAGAAATTACTGTAATCAGGCAGCATGGAATGAGCAGCAACAACAAAATTAGTATTGCTTCTTTTTGCTCTTGCCCTTTGTGCTATACACTTCTGAGTAAAGTTCATTTTGTATTTCTAACAAGGTTGCTGGTCACACTTCCCTCTTATAGGACGTTTTCCTCTTTCTCTTAATAACTACAGATAAGGGTGATCATGTCCTGGATTTACTGATTAAATACTAATTTACAGACTAACCCTTTTGGAATTCGAAGCGAGCAACAGAACTTCACTCACTACAATAGCACAAGACACTACATGACATCTGCTGGAGAGTGGTGGAAGTGATTAATATTGTTTGCTTTCTTGAGGACACAGTTTCCAGACACTGGTAGGTTTTGTAATCATGTCTTTTCCAACAACTCCAGCCCACCTTGCTTCAACAATTGTTCTGAAGGAGCTTCTGGGTAAAATCCTAGCATAGAGAAAATGCATTATTCACACTGGTTAATTTATTATATGTATACAAGCATGAAATATCTGGCCTTACTGCTTCTCTCCCAAAAGTCCCAGAGCAAAAAGAGCACACATGGTTGGACTGTCATGCAGTATTTCACAGAGAGAGAAAAAAAAGGGCAAAATAAACCACCACAAAACCAAACAAGTGGAAGAAAAAACCCACCCAAGAACCAGATTTTGGCACCCAAAGAACACCCTCAAGGAGGTCAAAGTTCAATCAGATGTCATAAATCCATTTAATACAATGTTTCTGAAAAAGACATAAAATGAATAATTTTAATGTATTCATTATGAAGTTTGATATTTCAGTGCCTTTCTCTTTCATTGGAAAAATTATTGAGTTCGCACAAAATGAGAAAGCAGAGGAAATAGTTCCATTGTCAACTTTCAAAAACATTCACTTCTTTCAGAGATGAAAGTACAAATGTATTAGAAATGTAAATGCATTCACATCTAAAAAAGCCAAGAATTTTTAAAAGAAAAACGTTGAAGCTGGTGAAGCCTGAAAAATACATTTCCTACTTTGTTTGGGGCAGGTAATAAGAAGTCAAAAAATAGGAACATGAAAGCTGGACCTTTTTATGATACACAAAGTTTATTAAATGCACATCCTCCTGTAATAGTGAAAAATTGGAGACTAGCAAGATTTTAAGGAAGAATTTCACATTGCCATGAATTCCTGCTAACCAATAGAAGAGTGCTACTGGTATAGACATGATCTCTCTTTATAAAATAAGGCGAGACCACTCTTTACCAATATCAGTCATTCTGAGTAAAGCAGCATTTGGTGCTACTAGCACCAAGGCAGAGAACGAGAGATCAGTCATTTCACAAGTCCACACTAGTTAATTACTCAGATTTTATCTTCTAGAATCTACATTCTCCCCTTTTGCGTCCTCAACGCCAAAAGAAAAACTACAAAAAAAAAAAAAAATCAACACCCACACCCTTCAGTTCAGAAATACGTATTTACAGACGCAGACATCATTTATAGCACACTCTCCTGCATTGTTTTCATAGATTGAGCCCTCCTGGCAAATAGTATAAAGCCATAGTATCTAGACACTACCTACTCTAGATTTAAATACCATAAGAGAATCACAAAGACAGCTTTTATTGAGCAAGGGCCAAGAAGTTCTTGCTCAGGAACCTTCTCCGCAGCTAAGTCTGAAGAAGAGGAGGCTGAGGGGGGACCTTATTGGTCTCTATAGCTACCTAAGAGGAGGTTGTAGTGTGGCAGGTGTTGATCTCTTCTCTCAACTAACTAGCGACAGGACAAGAGGCAATGGCCTCAAGTTGCAATCCTCCAGCTCCTGAGCAAGCTCGGGAAGTGTGGGCTGGATGAGTGGACAGTGAGGTGGATTAAGAACTGGCTGAATGGCCGAACTCAGAGGGTTGTCATCAGCAGCACTGAGTCTAGTTGGAGGCCTGTAACTAGTGGTGTCCCTCAGGGGTCAGTACTCGGCCCAGTCTTGTTCCACTTCTGCATCAAT